CCGCGGATCTTATCCGGAGGAAGGCTCTTGTTCGTCTGCGGAATCTGACTGACCCTCTTCGCTGCCTGTAAGGGTTGGTTTCCCTCCCCAGCTACTATAGGGCCTCCGTGTTGCAAGCTTCGCTTCGCGCCTTCCGACTCTTAATTGTCCGGAATCAATCTCACGTGTAGCTAGAGTATTGATTTCCTGACCTTGCACTGTGCTCARCAGACGCTTCGCGTCTGATCTGATGCCAGATAAGAGAATCGCAGATATCTGGAAAAAGGCTAGAGGTGTGTCTTGTCTAGGCTGAGCACTTCGTGCCTTCTACGGCCTTAGTGAGCAATAGAACAAAATCATCTGCTGACGTAAAATTTCTGTTCTGCCGAACGAAGGCCTTTCTCCTCCCATCGCGATGTTTTCCTCCTCCTCATCCTCCTCCGCTTCTTCCTCCCCATCGCCATTTTCCTCCTTCTCCTTGTCCTCCTCCTCTTCCTCCTTCCCCATCGCCATTTTCTCCCCCCACCTTCTTTTTTCAACATTATTATACAAATCGCTTGATTGGCACCTCGTTTGTTTCATATGTGTTTGCACACGACTGGTGTATTGATGAATCCAGGTGGGGAGAGAATCGTGTTTCTCCCCCCACCTTTTTTTTTCGTATTCTGGTGAAAATGGCTTGATTGGCACTACGCAGCAACACGTCGCCTGCAAGACCGAGGTCACCTACATCTCTGTTCCAGACCATGACGTGGCCACAACCTGACGGGACCGAGGTCGCCATTTCGTCTCATTCCAGATGGTCTCCAAAGGTAAGTAAAGCCCAAACGTTTGTGTGCATGTTCTTTCTTTCATTTCGAGATTTTTTTCAGTAGGCGAACTTGGAAATGCTGGAGAGATTATGCTGGTTTTTTTTTTTTCAGATTTTTTGTTAAATGTTAGTTTTTTTTTTAACGCTGATGATGTATCGCCATTTTTGAAATGTCTGTGCCTCTGCAACACGATGCATGTCTGTGCCTCAAGTCTGTTTGTCTCTCTATGTGTCTGTCTGAGTGTCTGTCTCTCTATATGTCTGTCGGTGTTTAGTACGCGACCATCGGAGGGGCTCAGCGTCACGGTGCCCCTCTCTCTCTCTCTCTCACACACACACACACACACACACACACACACACACACACACACACACAAACACAGACATACCGAGAGGGATTCAGCGTCACGGTGCCCCTCTCTCTCTCTCTCTCTCTCTCTCTCTCACACACACACACACACACACACACACACACACACACACACACACACACA